ATGCGCCAAACTAAAACCGCTGTTGTTCTTTATAAATAATTAGTTGTTACGAAAAAGAAGCAATTTATACATTTATGAAACTCTGTTAAACCTTCATTACAGGTAATGTTGAACAAAATTTTTCAGTAATTGAAATAAATAAACAGTATCTTAAAAAGACATAACAAAAGTTTGAACTTCAAAAAAATCTTAAACTTTTTTTGTTGTTGCATAGAGAGAACTTTTTCCTACGTGCAATTATTTTCACTTCAAGAGCATTAGATAAAAAAGTGGCTGCCTATATATGCTAAACGATGTTAACAGTATTGACAAGAACAACCTGATAAGCATTACGAATTAAGAAGAATCAATACGTGGTAGATGTGAGGCAAACGTAATTAAGCAAAAGCTTCAAGAAGAATCCTCACCAAGAACAAAAATATTAACCTGAAGCCGCCGCTTAGTAAAAAGCTACTTCCTAGTGTTTTGTGATCTAGTACACCTACTTAGAAAAATTCAAAAATTGAAAAGTGCCTCAGCAAGTAAATTTACTAAAAAACCAAACTGAACTGAAAAGAACTGAAGTAACTTATTTGACTCAATCCTTCTGTACTTTTATTTGCTGCAGTTAAATTATGAGATATTGTTACGAGAATACTGATTTAGACCTTAGAGAGTAGATCTTTCGTATATATATATATAGAAACCTACTCCACCAGTAAAGTAAAAGTTAATAGACATTATTTTAAATTTGTTATTTTTAGTTGCAAAATTTCTCAAAATTAATCGTTTACTGTTTAGAAAACATTTTTGTCATTCTAAATTGCACTGTTCAAAAAAAACTTTAATTGTAAACTAATCTTTGTCTTGTTTAGTTTTACAATTGGTATTTAAAGCTGCGAGAAATTCGTTGATTCTAATTATGTATTGCTTAATAAATATTTGGTGATAAAGAGTCTACACTTAGTATTTCTGAGTTCATTTTCTTCACTTGATTAGTATATTTTACGTGTACAGCTAAAATGTGGTATTTGACAGCCAGCAGTGTTACAACGGCGAGTTGCCGAGAAAAATGATTGCATTTACAGTTTCGACCTATAACTGCTTGTCGATTTTTATTAAACACTTTATAAAGAGAAATATCCTGAATGTAATTGAACAGAAACTAATTTGTAAAATCAAACTTTAATAAAAAGAAGAAAGTTAAGCACTGAAAAAAAATACTGCAAGAAGTGGGTGATTGCAGTTACTGTTAATAAAAAACCTATTTTCTTATTTCACGCTTATATTAAATTAGCAAGCACAACAAAAAAAAATTCTTTTTTGTTTTTTATTTTTATTTATAAGTTGTAAATATCATGCTGATTTTTCATGTCGTTTTTTGATCTAGGTGAGTCCCTTGGTTACTTATACAGCGTCTGTTACTTTAAAAGGTCCAAACAGTGCATGTGGTAGACAGGTAAGCCAACCACTGCTCTGAAATATTGTGCATTAAAATTTTCTCGATAAGTGATTGAAAGTCTTAAAAAGTACTTACTTATCAATAGGGACAATCGTCTGTTTTGGTGCCATACCCTCTTAACGGAGACTCTGGGACAGTCCTCTTTACATTTCATTACTGCAGTGGATTGAACAACGGAACGAGTGTTACCGACGACCAAATACCAGAAATCATTTTTTGTTGAAATGCTCTAGACTGTATATGATGTCAGAATTAGGAGTTGCTAACTTCTTTTGTTAACAATCATTTTACATCAAATGCTCATAAAGTATAAAAGTCAAATTTATATATGTCGTGATAAATCATTCAAAGGCTTTTTTGAAAATAAATTAATTGATTAGTCAGACAATACAAATATCGCTTTACTTTTCAATAAAATTGTTCAGAAAATTGTCACTTGTACTACTACTAAGGACACTTGTATTACGAGAAATTTTGCTATTGCTTCTTCACTGTTTAGATGTTTTAACTCTCATAACCTTCTCGCAACTTAATATTTAAAAGTTTTTTTTTATTTATCTCCTCTCAACACAAGAAAAACAAGAAATTTCCTTAACCAAAAAATAATTACTTTTTTTGTTGTGTAGAATAATAGACGAAAGATAAGACCACACGGTGTTTGCAAAACGACCTACTTGAAGAAGTACAGCAGCGATTTTTAAAAAAAGGAACTGCATAATAGTAAACACATTTTTTTTAAAAGATCATTCTGTCACTGTACGCAGTTTCAGTATATTTTCATAGATTATTTATTGCTTAATTTTTGATAAATTTTAATCAACATTTAACAAATCTTCAAAAAAATAGAATAATAAATCAGAAAAGAAAATTATTTTTTATTAAATTCGAGAAAAGCTTAAAAAGCATTGATAATTCTTGGTACGTATTAGACAGTTGAAAAAAAAACTGAGGAAAGGAAACAAGAGTGTTCACCAAAATAAACAAGAGTGCAAAAATTTACAGTGTAAAAGAGCAACTGAAACTTTTTAACCACTTTTTACTTTAATATTTTAGAAAAATCTCTTGAATTTTTTTTAGGCTTATAAAACAATATCACATCTTTAATTTCTTTGCTTTGAAAGGCGGAAACGCTATTTTTCTGCAGTAACTGCCAGGAAGCCTGTAAACTTAAGACGAATTAACTTTTGTTTTCATTCAAGTTAAATACAAAAAATTTGAGTAGAATAAACGACAACTCTGAGTCAGAAGAGAAGCTTTAGTGTGCTATGTTCTCAATTTATGCTTTAAAATTTTATTTGATAGACTAAAGAGCTTCACGTACAAAAACATATGTACAATACAGACTCCAATCTCGGTAACAATTGCCAAGAAAAATCGACACTTTAAAACCTAAATAGCAAAGTTTAAAATACTGCATTTGATGATAACCCTACTTTAAATCCAATAAAATTTTTTTACTAAAAAAACAGTACAATAAACTTTAACAGTTTCAGATAAGGAAATGGTGTAACCCAAAACAAAGATGAAATAATCTATTTAAGTGAACAAAAATCATATATCATTAGTTAAAGCGTAAACTGACAAACAATTACCATCATTGTCACTTTTACAGCCGAAAAAAGACGTTGACTATCTAAGCACATTTCACGAGTTTTTGATTGTTTTTTGTAGCTTTTTTCATCAAAATTTAATCGTTAGTACAACCAACAACTGCTGTAGTACCTTTAAAATCACTAAAACCCAGTAATTCTACGTTTTGAACATTACTGTTCGACTAAATCAGCGTTTTTGTGCGAAATTCATGATACGAGCCGATTGTTGAGAATAAATAAATTCATGTAAGACTCAGCATCCTTTACAGAAAAACTTTATGGTTAGTTACATCAAACACTTAGAATTGGAAAAGGTGATTTTGAAAGATATAAGACAGTCAAAACAGAGACGGGTGGCCTGAAAGTCGTGCAAACCAAAAGCTGTTTCACAATTTCATAAGCGAGATCGTAAATGCAAATCTTAGACCTAATTTCTATTTGTCTGTAATATTGACTGCTCATCGTCACCATAATTTTCGCTTTCAAATTGGAAACACAAAAGCGTAACGTTTCCTCTTAGAAGGTCTTGGCTCAGAAAAGATTCAGAAAGTGACTCAGGTGTCTCATTTGAATTAGCTCTAAATAGTCAAGAGAAATGTTAGCACGAAATTCCAGTTACGAACTCATACTAGAACTGCTGTTACAGTCGAACAGTTTGTTAATGTGAAAAACTTTTTAGCTGGAAGAGTGCTCAACAATTTCGACCCGAAAGGTTTAAAAAATTTGTGCGAGAAAAAAAAACAAAAGAGTGAAGAAAACTGCAGTGAGTTAATCTTGTTTCGTTCAAAAAAATGTTATTTACAAATTGAAATACAGAAAACACGACTAAATCACCGACGAATGATGCATAACTTTACTGAGTAGAATTTTTAGAAAATAAAACAATTAAATTAAAAATTTTCAAACAATGTTACAGATATTAATGTTAGTTATTTGAGATTTCCCTAATTTGCAACTGGATAAGACGCATATTTCACCACCTGAGACTGCATAACATACCAAGAAGAAGATTTAGAGAAATCCAAAACCCTAAAATAGAAGACAATTGAAAAAGCTAAATAATATTAAAAAAAAGATTGATCTGTAATTGCTGTTTTCAGTACGAAACAGAGAGTGTCACTGAAACGTAAAATAGTGCAACAAATGGACAAACTCTAAAAAAACTTGGTAAATTTAAGTGAACTTACTGCGGTTATTTGCAAAATTGGATTCTTGCGACGATAATAGATCTGAAATTGAAAAAAAATAAAAACGGCAAGTGTTGCTATTTGTAAAATAATAGCAAAAACAAAAAAACTGAACTTAGTTGTCAGTACATATTTCTCAATCTCGCTTAAGTTCAGATAGTTGAACAATTAAAAAATAGTGATTTACCTCTTCGTTTTGCTGGAACGGCAGTAGCCGTTTGGTATTTAACACTGCCAAATATCATGTCTGCTTCCTCGTGTTCGTCGTCCTCAAACTGATTATTTTCTTCGACCTCTTCATCAGGATCGGTGTCGTTTTCAATTGAATTTTGAACAAAAGAGTACCGTTCTGCAACTTGGGTTTATTAAACTCTTTACACTTAGGCAACTCGACAGTTTGCGACGTGAAACAGTCTACGTTTTGTCAATTATTTAGTAAAGATACAATACTTGTAATACCATGCTAACAATCTTTTAAATTCGTCTTTAAAAGTGTTTCTAATAGCAAAAATATTAACCGTCACAAAGTCATGATCATTTACTTACCATCTTCAGATGGGACCGCTACTTCGGGAAAGAAATACTCTGAAATGTTAAAAGCATTAAAATATAATACTTGAAATTTTTAAATCCATTTATTATTTAAACAGTTTTTATTTGCTACACAACTTAAATTAATCATTTATTAAACAGAAAAAAACTTTTAGTAAGATCCTTTGCGTCTTTTTGTGTTAAAATGCTGAATAACTTGAATGATTTGCAACAGTAAATTAACCCGGTTTACGGATAAAGAAAAAGATAAGAGATGAAAATGTTGCCTCTGACAACGATTTCATCGTATGCTGTGCCAACTTCGTTGCTTGCAGTACAACGATATATATCGTATTCGTCGCTCGAGACTCCTTTGATCGTCAAAATGTGTACACTCATGTACCGTTCCATCTTTTCATCTGTCTGCAACAGCAATCTAATAGTTTTACCCAAGAGCTTTTGCAAAAACTTGAAGTAAAGCGGAATCTAGACTCTTACTGCAACAAATTTCTCAGAGTCAACAATGTCCAATTCATTTTTGCTCCAAATTACATCTGCAACAGGCCATGCTTCAACGTTACAAATCAGTTTAATCTGGCCCCCATATGGAACTGACACAGAACGCAACTTTGCCTTTACAGTTGGTTTAACTGAAATAAAGTAGCACTAATGTTCACAGTTTTCTTTGAAGATAAGTGAAAATATTAATTTTGACAAAAGGAGATGTTGAAAAACTTTTGCCTTGCTTTAAAAAAACATAGAAATTCTAATTTATTATCTGTTCCGAAAAGTTTGAAAAGTCCGAAAAGCGAAAAGTTATTTGGCCGAATTACTTAGTTATCATTTAATAGTGCTTTATAGCATTTAGCAGTTCGTGTAAATAACTGGGTAGATTCAAAACAGTAAGTGTTTAGGTTTCACTTTGATTCAATACTTTTGCAATTAAAACT